ATTGAAAATTTTAAGTTCTTTATAATAGGCGATCTCCATCTCGTTAGTCAAATTACCCTCCTGGTCCTGGTTGTTCAAAAGATGGATAGCGCTATCACCTGGATAAATCGCTATCCAGTGGATAGGTATTAGGAAAACCAATTGCACTATCAGCAGTGAATACAGATTTATCCGATCATGGCCGATGGATTACCGTTATCCACTTTTTGAACAAGCGGGGCGTGATAAATAACTGATGCCGGCCATGGGCTGATGACATTTACGTTTTAGTCCATTAGCCGGTCGCGGGCCGTTAATTAATTGTTCGATTTGACAGTATCGATAACAAAATTAAAACCTGATGTGCTTGTATCAGTAACCAGAAGAGAAATTCGGCGCGTGATCGGTAAAACCCAGTGTGCGCTGAGCTATTGCGAATATCGCAACTTATTCGTAGAATCTACTCTCAGGAAACTGCATTGTAAGAAATTTCATGTAACTGCAGTTTTTACTTTTTTATTTTTCTTGGCAAAACTCCAAGTGCTTGTTTTTTACTTTCTGAGGGGCCGTGTTTTCACGAGCGGTTTTTCAGGTCGCTCAGCGAGTGACAAGCGGAAGTCCCGTGAAAACAGTTGTTTTTTCAACCCGCTTAAAGTTAAGCGAGTCGGCAAACTTCAATGGAATTCTCATTAAATTTAAGCCACTAAACCAGGTAGCTTAAGCGAGTTGGTAATTAATTTCGGCCAATTAGGAGTCGTTTGTGGTTATTAACTTGACAGGGCTGTCAAATCGGCAATACAACACGCCTGCTATTTTTGATTCATTCCTGCGTGAAACTTCTGCGGCATTCAAAACAACATGGATAATCATTGTAACGCCTTCCCAGTTGTTTTGTTTAACACGTGACCCGGTCACGCGCATCCGGGTTTTCAGTTTTTTGTAAGCTCGACTAGAGAGCGGAGTGTTTTTGGCAACGTCGCCCAACGCAGTTCTTTAGGCTTCGCACGAAGCGTGTTGTAATAGCCATTACAGTCTTTGACGGTCCCTTCGGTCCGTTAACATCTTGTGAACCAGCATTAAACGGAACTAAGGATCTTGTTAGACGTTTTGGTCATTGTGGAGTGAACCTTTCAGAATTTCTGCAACGCATGTTGCCCTCGCGCCGCCTTCACCCAAAGCGGTCGCTACAGTCAAAGACTCGTATTTACCTCAAGGAACTTTGAAGACTCCTGTTTAATCTGAGGAACTCCAACGAATTGTATTTACGCCGAGGAACTTTACCATGGATTCAGCAAAATTCGATGATAAACACGAGGATACCGGACTCGGGCTAACCTTCGTGTCGAGACCAGAGGAATTTCTCATCGAGAAGAGCGCAAAAAAACACACCTCAAGCCCAGCTCACGAAGAAATCGTCGACTCAACAAAGACTGAGGTTAGCTCATCTGTTATTTTACCGGATGATGTGTCTTTACGTCCAAAAATAGAGGAAATTTCATCGATTACAAATGCCGACATTATTGTCGATTCGAGTAACACTAGGCCCAGGACCCTCACGGCCAAAGGGCGGGAATACAAATGTGGCTTGAAGAGAAGCGCTGCGATAGATAACGACCGTCAGTTTCGCTCTAAATTAGACACTTTTAAAGAGCAAATCCTCTCAGGCAAAGATCCTAAGGAAATTAAGGAAGATATTTCAGCTTTGATCAAGGAGTTAGACATTGTCTTACAAAGTTTTGACCAATGGATAGAGCTATCAGATGATTCGGATGAAACTCATCAGGCCACAAGTAAACAAGCTTATCTGCTTGACACATGGAAAGCAGTTCATGATACAGCCGTGAAAGAAATTGACAAATTACAAAATGATGCAGCCTCTATCACATCTCAAAGGTCCCACCGTTCACGAGTCTCGAAAGGGTCGGGATCAAGTAGAAGTTCTTGCAAGGAGACCCTGCTTGAATTTCGAGCTAAGAGAGCAGCCCTAGAAGAAACGTTGAAGTTTTCAGCAGTTATTGCCGAACAAAAACAGAAACTGGAACAGTTGAAAATACAAAAAAAAAGAACTTGGAGAAGTCACTGCACAAGAGCAAGTCTACCAAAAAGCAATGCAAGAAGAAAACTGTCTGCAGTCGCCTGCACTGCCGACAGAAACCTATGATCCAATTTCCACCTTTATTGCCAGCAATAATGCTGACGAATATACGTCTACACCGGGTGCGCCTGCTACAACGCTCTTTGACACTAGAACACCAGTGACTAAAGTGACAGTGACGTCATCGTCCACACCACTTGACGTTGTATCTGTATCTTTGAATCAAGGCCCTCAAGGATCAACCAATCGAATCTCACACTCTACCACTGCAACCACCCTTCAGCTTAAGAGGACAAGCTCCTCCAGTTTACACATCGCCTGCGTGTACTATGTCCCAAATTGGACTCACACCTCCAAGAGGTTTTGCGGAAATTTTCCAGCGTTTGTACCATCGTCATATACAGCCTACTCCCCTGCACCCCAAGATTATTCAGTGCAACTAACTGACACCCTAGCCAAGATCAGTCAGCTACAACGCCTCCCTCAAGCCACGCCAGATGTTTTTAAGGGTGATGAGACTGACAAGACTAAATTCTTCCTGTGGGAGAATTCTTTTGATAGTCTGATTGATTCAGCACCAGTGACAGCCCAACAGAAACTACACTTCTTGTACCAATATTTGGATGGCAAAGCCAAAAAGTGGTAGAGCAGCTTCAGTACTTAGTGCAGAACCCTGAAAGTGCGTATCAACAAGCCCGCACAATCCTCAAGGAACGTTTTGGCCACCCAGCAATAATCAGTACCAGTTTTCAGAAGAAATTAACAACCTGGCCAAAGGTGGGACCGAACGATGCAGCAGCCTTAGAAGAATTCAGTGACTTCCTTCAACAGGTGAAGATTGCAAGCGAACACATTTTGAGTCTCCAAGTCCTTAATTACCCGTCACAGATTCAAAGTCTTGTCGAAAAGCTGCCATCGTGGTTCAAGCCCAAATGGTCTGATAAAGTGCTGAAACTTCAGAAGAAAGAAGGCAAGGACACATTCCCTTCATTTGCAGACTTCGCTCAAGAAGTGCGTTACCACGCTGAGCGTGTCAACATACCTCAAATTGTTCAAGCTTCAGGTTCAAGTGGTACACCACAGACAGACCGTTTCAAACCTTTGAACCGCCAACCCCGTCTGCGTCCTCCAGCTGTTAATCTGACCTCCACTTCACCCCCAGTAACAATGGCGAGACAAATGCTAATCACGAAGAACCAATAGAAATCTCCAATGTGCTTTCAACCCATGCTCAGCAACCGGACACTACCAAAGCTACTGCGGCTAACACGTATTGCTTCTATCACAAGATGAAGTCTCATAGCATGAACGATTGCGAACAGTTTCAGAAATTAGGATACGAAGAACGCAGAGATTTCCTAATGAAAAACAAAGTCTGTCTCAAGTGTGTTAATTCCAACAAACATGTTGCCAGAGACTGCGGACAAGACAGGCTAGATTGCAAGATATGTCGACAGAAACATGCCACTGTACTGCAT